TAGACCTGCACACAGCCTATCAAGCCATGCTGTGGCAGGAGTCTCAGGTATAAAATAGAGGAAGATGGGCACAGATGTTAGCTTAGGGCCAATCTTCCTCAGCAAAGAGAGAAGGATTGATGGCAGATATTAGCTCAGGGCTAAACTTCCTCAAAAATAGATAAATAAATAAACATTATAAAAAAATTAACACAAAATAGATCATGGACTTACATGCAAAGCATAAAACTGTGAAATTTTAGGAAAAAACATAGGAGAAATTCTTCAGGACCTGGGACTAGGTGGAGAGTTCTCAGATCTGACGTCAAAAGCATCACACACACACATTAGACTTCATCCAAATTAGAGTTTTCCTCTGCAAAAGACCCTGTTAAGAAGATGAAAAGATAAGCTACAGACTATTTCCAAACCATGTGTCTGACACAGGACTGATATCTAGACTATATAAAGAACTCTCAAACTCAACAGTAAAAACAACGAAATCTGGAAACAACTCAAATGTCCTTCAATGGATGACTGGCTAAGCAAACGGTGACACATCCATACCGTAGAATACTACTCACAAATAAGAAGGAGCAAACAAGTTGGATACACACAATAACTCGAATAGATCTGATGCTTTTATTACTCGTGCTGAATAAAAAGAAAAAAGCAATCTCAAAGTTTGCCACTATATAATTTCACTTATATAACATTATTGAAATAATGAAATTGTAGGAATAAGAACAGATTAGTGATTGTCAGGGGTTAATGATGGAGGGAGGGGATAGTGTGGCTACAAGTGGGCAGCATGAGGAAGCTTTGTCACCACTAAACAATTGTGCATCTTAATTATGGCAGTGAATCTAAACATATGATACACACGAATGCAGGAATTTGTACATATGTAAAATTGCATAGAACTACACACACACACACACACACACACCAGTGCATGTAAAACTGTGGAAATCTAAATAAACTCTGTGGATTGTACCAGTGTCAATTTCCTTCTTTAGATATCACTGGCAGCATCTGGGTGAAGAGTATATGAGACCTCGTTGTATGTTTTTCGAAACTTCCATGGAGTCCATAATTTTTTCAAATTAAAACTACTTTTAAAAATTAAACTAAATTTTCATAAAACTCCCAACTGCGAATCATCTCCTTTGACTCTGTTACACATCACACGTTCAGCCCCTTGGTTTTTCAGTTCCTGTCCTGCAAGGAGCCCCCACACTAATCGTGCAGTTATCTTTTTCACCTTTCTGAGATGCACATATTCAGAAACAGAGTAAAACTACCTTTTAGATATGATTTGTAACAGTCAGAGTTTGCTAAATGCAGCCAGAACAAATCAAATCAGTGAATGATGAATTGTATACAATTTAGTATAATAAATTTTAGATCACTGAGGAATTATCCAATTCTTGAAGAAAAAGTCAAACAACAAGAAGCATTGTTTCTACTGTTAGAATCCTAAATTCTGTGTAGCTTATTTTCTCTTGTTACTGAGCGGGAGAAGGGACAGAGTAACATCAAAGTAAGTGCATCTCAGAGTTCATGCTTTTTTTCTGGGTTCTAGCTAATGGGGAGCAGAGTGTGCTGATAAAAGTAATGAGAATAACAACTTTTCACCTATGGACGTGTATGAGGAAGCCATTCTGGTTTAACCGTGGTTCAGCCTAAACCTTGTTTTTCCCAGAGCAGCCTGACTTCTGACCCACCAAACACACACTGTACATCTGCTTCAAACATTTTCCCAAAGGAAAGAATGCACTCTTTAAAGATAGGCATGAATGTCTCCCTTTCTCTGACACCATACCAGTACTTCTCTGAAGATAAGCTCTTCTTCCCAGAGGACCAACGTCAAGTTGACTTGCCATGTATGGTGCTAAACTGCAGCAAAACACATTCTTGACTTTGGAGAAAAAAAAGTGTATTCCTATCATGCTTGATGTATGTTTTTTGTTCTAACATGGTATGTAACCATGCTTCCACAGAGTACTTTCTTCCTGGTGGAAATAACATTTCTGGGCTAGTCTTCAGCATTGGCTCAATAAATATCACTCTATTCTTCTTATCTATAGATTAATTATTCATTATTTGCATTGACAGTACTATTTGGACAAGTCCAAAGAGAGTTTATATAAGCAGCGGTTAATTTAACAAGATAAACACATGTTGAATAACAAAAACCCAATGAATCAAACAAATTAGAATTTGTCATAGAATCAGACAAATTAGGCAGTACTAATTTGCAACAGATATCATAGCCTATTATTGCTAATTTCAATATTCTTAGAAAAATAGCTTAGGATTTGTCAGGATATTATTGAAGTTAATTTTCACGAGGTAACTGCTGTCTAAATTCAATAGCTCTTATTTTTGTAGTAACATGATATTGCCTAAAATATGATTACTTTGAAACTTTTACATATTTATTTGAAACTACACATGCTGATTCTAAAATTCAAGTGAAGACTAAATATGCAGAAAATCAGAAACAGTTTTGAAACAAGAATAATTGGGGGTGTGGTAGAGACAAACGTTATCACATAATAAATAATATTATAAAGCTGGGATAATTTAAAATGTTGGCACTTTTAAATGTACAACTAGATAGACTGATAGAGAAGAAAGAAATAAAAACAAATTAGATATAGGAAATTACTATACTATGAAGCTAATACTAATCAGAGGGGAAACAATAGATTATTCAGCAGATAATGTTGGGGCAATTGACTAGCCAGTTAAAAAAAATTGACCCCTTACCTTACTCCTTAGATCAAAATAATTCCAAATCATAGACTTAAAATATTAAATTTTAAACATAATGGAAAATTTCAAGATTTTTAAAAAATAATCTTTGAGTGAGTCAAGATATTCTAAGCAAGGCTTAAACTTCATAAGGCAGAATAAAAGTGAATATATTTGTATAAACAATAAAGAAGAATATATAAAAGAGAACATTTCTGCATTTCAAAAACACCATCAAAAAGCCAAATTGGGGCTGGCCCAGTGGCACAGTAGCTAAGTGCTCATGTTCCACTTTGGCAACCCAGGTTTGCCGGTTCAGATCCTGGGTGCAGACCTACGCACTGCTTGTCAAGCCATGCTGCAGCAGGCATCCCACATAAAATAGAGGAGGATGGGCACAGATTTTAGCTCAGGGCCAATCTCCCTCAGCAAAAAGAGGAGGATTGGTGGCAGATGTTAGCTCAGGGCTAATCTTCCTCAAAGAAAAGGCTAAAATCAAATGCCAAAATAGTATAAAAAGATGCAAAAATAGAGACAATGTAAATTAGTATAGAAAGAGATTTTGTAAACCAATAAAATTAACTCTCAAGAAGGAAATTACATTAATAATGTATAGTTAATATTTAATCAAGTGTCTGCTATGTTCTACCATTATTCTACATTTTATCTATTATCTATGTAATCAATCCATGTCTCTATGTTAATACATATTTCAAATGATTCTCACAACAATCCTATGTGTACTCTTCTTACTCAGTTGAGGAAACTAAGTCACAGAGAAAGTCACTGAGCAACTTGTTCAGACTCTCACAGCAAACAAACTATGGAGCTGGAGTTTTGTCCCTGTCATTCTGACTCGAAGGCTAACATTTAAACATAATTTTGAAGAGAATTTTCAGAGACATGCCAGCAGACTTAAAAATTATTTTTTAAATGTCAGCTTTACTAATAATAGATAGCAAATAGTTCTCTGAATTAGCACTTTTCACCTATTAAATTAAGAAACATAAAAAAGTTTGACCATGTAAAATATTGGGAAGAGAGTGGAGGAACAGATTCTCTGACACATTATAAATGTGTAAATTGCTATTGCTTGGTTAGAGGCATCTGGCAATACTTATTAAAGGAAAAATGCAAGGATCCTTTATCATAGTCCTTTCCTTTTTTTTTTTTTTTTTTTTTTGCTGAGGAAGATTGGCCCTGAACTAACATCTGTTGCCAATCTTCCTCTTTTTGCTTGAGGAAAACTGTTGCTGAGCTAGCGTCTGTGCCAATCTTCCTCTGTTTTATGTGGGATGCCACCACAGTGTGGCTTGATGAGCAGTGCTAGCTCTTCACCTGGGATCCCAACCTGCAAGCCCAGGGCTGCCAAACAGAGCACAGAAACTTAACCGCTATGGCATGGGGCCAGCCCCTGTCATAGTTTTTATACTTTCAATCATTTTATGCTCATGTTTGCAAACATCTTTGTACGAGGATATTCATTTCAGCGTAATTTGTGGTAGTAAAAGATTGGAAATAATCTAAAATTTCAAAAACACGAAACCGCTTAAGCAAAATATGGTATATCTACACAATGGTATGCTATGTGGCCATTTTGTGGGGAAAAAACAAAGCACATAGTGAAGTGTATAGGTTTGTCTGAAAATAATGAATGTGTGTATATGGTAGAAATAATTGCCTCTATAGATAAACTGTGGTACTGAAGGGTAAATGAGGAAGGAAGACCTACGTTTACTGTATATTACCTATATTATGTAAAATGTTTATGATCTGCATGGATAATAGTCTCCCTCCAGCCCCCGCCCAGGTGACTTTCTGATCTCTCAGATCTACAAATGAAGAGTTCTTTTTTCCCTCTGCCATGCTCTTCCCTCCCACCCTCCTAAGACCTATCATGTTTGTGATCCTGAGTTTCGGTCACTCTTGTTCCCTGTGGCAGGCATAAAATTATTTGAAGAGATGGATTTCTTAATTTATGTTCCCAATTCTCTGTCAGAGAGGTTTCCTGACATTTCCACAACCCAGTTGATTCCCCTATTTTCAGTGCTGTAGTCCTTTGAAGGTTTCACCTGCTGAGACTCTTGCTTATTGTAATCAGTTACACCTAACCTTGGGTTCAACCCTTTTCTAACCTCTGGCAGCAGTCTAACTTTAAAGGCCATTCAAGGAACAATGAAACAATTAGAAGTGCAAGTAAGAGAAGGTTCTTCTGGTGATGACTTTAATCTCATTCGCATTATGCCCACCAAGTAGCAAAAATGTCCTTCCCTCAGTCTTTTTCATTGTAAGTGGTGTGAAATGGGTACTGTGAGATTGTGTTCACGACCACGAGGTGGCAGTGGTCCCTTCCTTTTATTCCATCAATGCCTTAAACATCAGAAGCATGAAAGTTACTAGAGGATTTGCTTTTGATTGGCTGAGCAGCCAACAGAAAGCCTCTCTTGTGCACCAGAGAACAAGAACTAAGACACAGAAACAGCTCCTCAGAGGAGAGAAGGTTTGAAATCACTACAAATCGTATGAGATATCAAGATGGAGAACATGCTGGAATGTGCCTTCATAGTCTTGTGGCTTCAGTTTGGCTGTGAGTTGGAGGTGGAGAGATGAGAACCGTAAGGGTAGATTTATCCAAACCTGGGGAGAAGAGAGAAGGGTTTAGTCTCAGCTCATCTCTGGTTTCTTGTTTGAATTTTTCAGAACCGCTGAACTGAAAGCTTTGTATCATTTCTGATTTTGTTTCTCTGAGCAGGGTTGAGTGCAGAAGACCAGGTGGAGCAGAGTCCTCAGACCCTGAGACTCCAGGAGGGAGACAGTCTCAGCCTCGGCTGCAGTTACAGGGTCAGCTCTTTTAGAGGGCTGCAGTGGTACAGGCAGGATCCTGGGAAAGGCCCTGAACTGCTCTTCCTCCTGTATTCAGTTGGGGAACCAAAGCAGAAAGAAAGACTAAAAGCCACGCTGTCAAAGATGGGAAGTTCTCTGCACATCACAGACTGCAAACCTGAAGACTCAGCCACTTACCTCTGCGCTGTGGAGACACAGTGCTCCCAGGCACCTGCAAGCCTGCGCCAAAACCCTGCAGCTGGGGCCCTGGATTAAGGGCATCTCTGTTGTTTATCCTCCTCAAAGAATTTTTTTGCTTAGCACCCAGGACCTCTTTCCAAATGGTCCAATGGAGAATAAAGTCTTCTGACACGGCCGGTTGCCACAGATTACTGTTCATTCTGTCCAGGGATCCTAGACAGTGCCCTTTGCCTCTACATGGGTCAGTCTGCTCTTCATAACAGCCCAGAGCTTCCCTCTCATCGATTCAGAGGGACAGCTGTGATCCGGAGAGGCTTGGTTTCTAGTCTTGGCAGCTTGAAAAAGAGACCACAGAAGAATACACACTCTTCTCTGAAATAATCTTTTTTTTTGCATTCTCTGATAGTAATCTGGTCACATGTCTCTAAGTGAATCTTTCCCATTTTAATATGGTTTTCTGAAGCTCGTATCTCCACCAGCCACATTTCTGCATTTCTCTTCTCCTTAAAAATCAAATTAGTTGAAAGAATTGACTATACTTACTGTCCCCATTTCTTCAGCTCCCATTCCTCACCCCGACTTGAATCAGACTTCTGCTGGCTTCACTCCAAGAGAAGCTCTCACCTTAACACCAGTGGCTTTGGTGTTAAAACCAATGGATATTTTCAGTCCTTATCTTGTCTGAGATTTTGAGAAATTTCTCTTCCCTTCTTTTTAAAAATAAATTTTATTTTTATCGAAATAATACCGTCATACATTTAAAAAATCAGAGAGCACTCTCTTTTTTCTCACTCCTCCACACACTGGTGTTGCCTCCCTGATGGAAGCGCTTTTGATTCTCAGATGACGGCACTGACATTTATCTCAATATTTTAAAGTGCTCTTGCTTTGACTTTTTTTCTCTTTTTTCTTTGTAATTGAGTACAACACATATACCAAAGTGCACGAAACTTAGGCCTACAACTCAATGAAATTTTACACTTGTTTATATCTATGTAATACCTTACAGACCTAAATATTGAACATTTCTGTTACTCCAGTGGATTTCCACCTTCCCCTTCCAATTCAACGGCCCTTTCTCCCATTCTCCACCCCAAGTAACTTCTATTCTGACTTCTCTCACCTATTATTGAACTTCACGTGACTAGAATCATACAGGATGGTACAGTACGTTATCGGCTCTTAGTTAATATCAGCCCTGATATTGGTTCCCCTACAGTGAACCCAGCATATATGGGGTTAAAACCAAAATATATGGGGTTAAAGCCTTTTCCAGGCTTTAGCTACATTCATATGTAAATACCTGTTTCTTTAAGCTTTGACTCCCTGAGCCCTTACAACCAAATAGAAGTTACAAATCTTTAAAGCCCAGGTGGCCTGGCGCTGGGCTCACACTAAAGTTTTAACTACCAGGGAAACTGCTGTCTCAAGAATATCAGCAAGCTGAGGCTTTTCAGACCCCAACTCTCCAGCTCGCAGAAGGCTGAATCCACCATCCATCATGAAGACAAGACAGCCAAGGATGCCCACCTGCAATCCTCCTATCTCACCATGCACCCTCCCTACAAGCAGCCTCTCAAGGCCAAATGCAGGTTGGTGGGGAAAGGCCAGCCAGCAAAGCTACATGCACCCCCTCCCCTACCCAAAATCCCAAATAAAAACCCCTACCTGTTTCTTAACAGAAGCTAGCAAGTTTCGAGGCATGAGCCCTTGCTTTGCTCCCTTTGCCTGGCATAATAAAGGCCTTGCTTTTCCACTCAAGACTGTTCTCGCTATTTGGATCAGCTCTGGGTTCAGAGACAGAACTTTCAGTTACATATGTATTCTCAGATCTGGCTTCCTTCACTCAATGTAACATCATTGCAATTCATTAATGCTGCTTTGGGTATCAGTTATTTGTTCTTTTTCATTGATGCATAGAGTTTCTCAGTATGAATACACAGCCATTTATTTATCTATTCTCCCTGAAACAGACATTTGGGTTGTTCGAATTGTTTACAGTTTGGTACCATTATGAAAAAGGCTATGTATCAAAAAAAAACCCAGATTTTTTTCTTAGTATGTAGGGAAAAACCAAGTTCTTCCCTGTATGTCTCTTTCCTGTGAGTCTCCTTTACTACTCACACAAAACACTCACACTTCTGTCACCACATGTGTGGAGGTTTTTCCCCAGGCCAAGCAATTCTCTGCAACACCAGCTGGGTGTCCTACCATTCAACTCAATTCTAACTCTATCTGTTAGGAGACAGCATCAGTTTCCACAGGGTAAATGTTCAGTCCCACGGGACTGCCCTACACACTTCAGACATCAGTTGCAAGCTCAGGTTACCACCAGCACATCTGAATAACTGGCTACAGATGAGGTTCCAATGAACCCCCTGGGTTTGATGAATTTGCTAGAGCAGCTCAGAAAAACATTTTACTTATGTTTACCAGTTTATTATGAAAGGATACGATAAAGGATGTAGATGAACATCCAGATGGAAGAGATGCATAGGACATGGTTTATAAGAGGAGACACAGATGCTTCCATGCCCTCTCTGGATGCGACATTCCCCCAGCAGTTCCACGTGTTCACCAACCTGGAAGCTTTCCACTCCCCTCACCATTCCCTTGTAGGTCAGGGCAGCTGACCTCTGGGAAAGGGATATTGACTTCCTGCCCTACTTGGGGCCCTGCATTTTCATTTTGAACTGGGCCCCACAAATTATGTAGCAAGTCCTACTTAACTGGATAGGCTTGCCTATAAAATGTTGAATAGAATTTTTCTTATTCCCAAACTCAAAGGTAAAGCATTCAGTATTTCACCATGACTATTAACTAGAGTGGGTTTTTTGGTAAATATCCTTTATCTAACCTAATTATTGAGGAAGTTCCTTTTGATTTATAATTTGTTGGGAGTTGCTGTTATGAATATAGAATACTTTTATCAAATTATCAAAATCTTTTCCTCTATATGTTGGGACGATTATATATTAATGTTGCAAATTAAATTGATTTTCAAATGTTAAACCAAGTTTCATTTTTAGAATAAAGCATACTTAGTAATGTTGCATTATCCTTTTCATATACTGAAACATTGATTTGCTATTATTTTGTTGAAGATTTTTGTTTCCATGTTCCTGAGTGATACTGGTATTCAACTTTTTCTTTTCACTGGCTTTTTCAGATTTCGGTGTCAAGGTTATAATAGATCATTAGATGTGTTGCAATTTATTGCCTCCTTTTCTAGCTATAGAAGAATTCCTGTAGAATTTTATTAATTTTAACAAAGTTTTTCAGAAAGTTCACTAGTGAAACCATCTAAGCATAGAGTTTCGCTTATGGGAGAGTTTTAAATTATGGATTCAGTTAATTTAACAGCTAAGGATTTCTTCATATATTTGATTTTCTCTTGTGAAAGTTGGTAAATTGTGTTTGGGTTTTTATTTCTCCTCCTGTTTTATTATTTGCTTCTTTTACTTTCTTTGGATTTAACTAGCTACCTTTTCTAGTTCTTTGAGTTGCAAATTTGACCACTGGTTTTCAACTTTTCTTCTTTCCTAATGAATACATTTAATTCCATAAATTTGCCTCTAATTACTGCTTTAGCTGTATCCCACATGTTTTGAAATGTCATAATAATATATTATTTATTATTATTCATTCATAATATTTATTATTATTCAACTAAAATATTTACTAATTTCCATTTTAAATGGGGATTTTATGTCATTTGATGACATTGCCAGAGACCAAAGAATGGCCAAAACCTGCCCTGCTCACCACTAGGAAGATTGCTAAAGATGCTGTATATATATTAGCTGAATAAAAATGGAAAGCAAGGAAGGACCTTTAGCTGAACCCGCACCTCATTGCATCCAAAGCAGGAAAGATGGGTTAAGGTTTAAGGACTAAGTAGAGTTTCCTACATCCTTTTGAATCCAGAAAAGAAAGCTCAGAATTTCTGTAAGGAGGGGTAGGAGAGACAGGCCGAGCCTCACACTGAGTCGTACGATGACTTACTTTTCAGGCATCTGGGGTGAAATAGAAAAAAGAAAGAGGTAGCCAATCACAGGGGACTAAATTAGCTCTATTTAGATCTGCTTATTATCACAGACAGGCAAAGACTTAAAAATGTAAGAGATATAAACAGAGTGAGTGGAGTCTGGAGTCCTGCCTTTTAAGTTGGACTAATTACTAATCTCCCACTCATGAATGGACTCTGAACAACAGAATCAGCTAATCCCACCCATCCCCTATGGAGAGAGGATGAGGGAAGACAGAAGGGAAGCAGAGGGGAAGCTTCTTGATTGAGGGAGGGAGGGAGAGGTATTCTTTTATCCACATCACTCTGTTTTGTTCAATTTTAAAACTTGAGATTTACAGTTTTACAGCCTGTTCAATGTATTCAGGGTGAGAGATCAGGAAAGTATTATGGAATTCTTATTTCTATCTGCCCCCATTTTATCACCCTCATTTTCACCACCATCATCTTTATAAGCATTTATTGAACCCCTACCATATGCCAAGTTTATTGCTCAGCACACACTCATTTAATAATCCCAAACTATGGAGTAATATTAATGCATCCTCAGATGAGGAAATTAAGCCTTAAGTACATTTAAAGGTGAAGGAATTTCTGAGATAAAGTAAATGCCGCAGGTACCATAAAATGAGATTAAAAAATAAAAACTCCAGAGTTAACCAACTAAACAGTGCTTCTCAAAGTTTACTGTACCTTTAGGAACCATGTGAAGAGTTTATTTCAACAACTAGCTCTGATTCGGATCAGGAGGTTCTGATTCAATAGGTCAGGCATGCGGTTGGGGGTCTACTTTTTGAGTGAGTTCCCTGATGATTGTGGTTCAAGTGATTGGGAGATCTTACTCTGAAAAACACTGCAATTGAGAGATTGCTGCATTTCAGGAGGATGGATGATACAGACTTGCAGGTGTTGTGTGTTGACTTGGATAGAGGTGTTCGGGGGAAAATCGAGCCCCACCTGGAGGAAACTTAATGCAGGTAACACCTCATTTCTGATTAAACCATATCCTATTGTGATTAGTAGGAAATCTCCTTTTTAGTGATAAAGATGGTAATGATTTTTATTTAAAACAACAACAAAAGGAAATTTCTCCATGATTTGGAAAACAGCAGAGAGGAATATGGGATAGACAAGCCTTTTAGTTATAGACTTCTCAACCAGGAAATAGGCCAGAACAACTTATTCCATTCTTCAATAAGGATAAAAGCTTTTTCATTC